GTGCGGGGGGAGGGGCTTGACCTGCCCCGAACGCCATGGCCGGTAGAGAGAGAGAGAGAGAGAGAGCCACAGTTCGCGAACAGGGCCTCATCTATATTAGTAGCAGTACTTCAGACATGGGAGGACAGTGTGCGCGCGCGTGCAGGGGTGAGCGTCGCTTGCCCTTTGTCTGTATGGAAGGAAGCGAGAGCGAGAGAGAGAGAGAGAGAGAGAGAGAGAGAACGAGCTCCGAAAGTAATTATGCTAGAATAGTGGGGACCCGACTCGTGGTTGTTTTCACGCCCCTTCAAAGACACCCCAAACAGTGGGGGGCCTTTAAAGGGCCAGGGGTTTCGCACACCCCCTATGCCCTGTGGAAGAAGAAGAGAGAGAGAGAGAGAGAGAGAGAGAAGAGAGAAGAGAGAAGAGAGAAGAGAGAAGAGAGAACAGAGAACAGAGAACAGAGAAGAGAGAACAGAGAAGAGAGAACAGAGAAGAGAGAAGAGAGAAGAGAGAAGAGAGACGAGAGACGAGAGACGAGAGACGAGAGACGAGAGAAGAGAAGTGAGAAGAGGGAAGAGAGCAGTGAGAAGAGAGAAGAGAGAGCGAGCGAGGAAAGAGAGGGCGGGAGGGAGGGAGAAAGAGCGGGAGGGAGAAAAAAAGGCAGGGACGGAGGGAGGGAGGGAGGCTTTCTCTTTGCCGATGACCCCTCAAACTCTCTCCCAAAGACGAGCACAGCAGGCCGACTTCGACTCCGGTGTTCGGAGATATCTCGGGGCACTGCGTGGCTGCCAGAACGGCAAGCCGGGAGCTTGGGCTTTGAGACAATCTTGGGGGTTGTGGGTGTACCGATAAGGGTCCTCTTGCACGGATCCTTGATACTACCTGCCTAACTTCCACCTGTTCAGGCTCCAGGGTTTTGTGCAAAAGGCTTTAAGGTTTCGAGCTTGATAGGTTGGGACGGATGTAGGTTTTGGGATTTCAATCCGGCTTTAAGGCTTAAGCTTCAGGGCTACTTTAGTGCTTGGGATTGAGAATGTAGGGTTTGGGCTGTTCCGAAGTTCGGATTCTGGGTTTAAGCTGTCAGTTTGCTTGGGCACACGTTCTGGGCAGAGGCCAGGCCCCTGCAAAAAGGCTTTGTGGGTTCAGGGACTGGGATTTGCATGAAGCGAGCTTGTGGGGTGATCGGGCTTAGGTGAAAGGACGACGCCTATAATGGGTTCTCGGTTGGCGTTGTTCAGTTCAGGGCCAAGTTCAGGGGTTCAGAGTGTTTGGAGTTGAGGTTCTGCAACAGTGGTCGAATAGTGCCGTCTTGTCTTCATTTCTGACATGTATTAGTATAAGACATTCGTCACAGGAACGTCGCACACGCTTCAACAACACCGGGACCGGGGACGACTGATGGTTTCATGTCCAGTGCCTTCAGATCAATGAGAACACTCACCAGGAGGACGAGGATCACAATATGAGGTTGGACAGCATCACATGAACTGTTTGACATTCCCAAGCATGAGAGGGTCTGGCCACGTCATAGTTCCCAAAACGCTGCACCCCACAGGTCCAGAACAGCAGCAGTTGCACTGCCTCATCATCACGGCGACATCGTTAAGACAACAACCGCAGTTGCATAGCGGCAACCGTGACGCGACCACGTCAGTCATAGTGGTATATCGGCGCAAAATGGCTGACGCTCAGGCAGAAGGTGAAAGATGCTATGGCCCGGCCCCAAGATGTCCGAGGAGGGGCTTTTGGGCTTATAACTGACTTGCAAGGAGCGCCAGCTTGATCTCTGGCTCCTGAGGCCATGCTTCACCACTATACCGCTCAGAAGATGAGATCTGCGGTGAAGAACTGGCCAGCCTACCTGCCACCTGGCTGCAAACTGGGCGGACATGTTACGGACACCTGACGTTGACCCATATAATTCGCCCCCTCTTAGTCCCCACACCTCCCTGTACTGCGGATCCCGAACAATCCCTCTACCGCACCTTGGTTGTTTGCGATGCAACACAAAAATAGCAGTGCAGCAAGCAGTGCTGGTAGGATTTCTGGGGAGACCCCCGCATTGATTGACCGTGGTCATGATGCTGGCAAGCAGACCTACTGTAAGATTCTTTGTTCGCCTTAAACCTTCAACCTTGTTGAGACCCATATAAACACAGAAACCCGAAACCATGAAACTACAAACCCCCCCCATAAGCCTTATAGAAGCCGTTAACCCTGCAACAGCCCTATACCAAGCCCTGAGCACCCTTATATAAGCCCTGTAGAAGCCCAATCCTACTTGGAGGATCATGGGACACAGTTACTCTCGGGTTATGCATAAGGCAACCATAGTTGTAAGTACTTGCAACTCCAACTCAGGTACTTAGAGCCGTAACTTACTAAGCCCCCCAAAATCTCAAACAAGAAAAGCCTAAACCCTAAACCCTGGCTACGGCTCAAGCAAGATCTTCGTAGGCCACCGTCAGCATCGGCTGTGATCCGGCTTCAGAGAAGATGATGTCCCCAGAAGGTGCTAGCTCCTTCCATCAGGTTGAGGTCCCAGGGCCTCAGCAGGCAGAGGTGGTGGGGCAGCCCGCGACGCTGGTCAAGGTGTCCGTCCCTACGGGGGCGGTGCCTGGGCAGCAGATCAACTTCACCATGCCGAACGGTCAGCGTGTGAGCACCTCCGTTCAGGAGCAGGTGCAGGCCGGCGCGACGCTGACGGTTTCCGTCCCGAGCCCAGCCCCGGCAGCCATGGCAGTGGCTCCGACTGGCTCGGCGATGTTTCAGCCAGGTCTAGCACAGGCCCGCGAGACGCTGCTGCCCCAGCCAACGGTCAATGCAAGAGAGGCAGATCCCTTCAATGCGGGGATGCGTTGGGGTGCTTTCGGCTTGGGCTTCACTTTCTGCTGCTTCTGTGGGCTGCCCGTCGGGCTGTGCATCTGGTCTGTCGTCGCAATGACCCACTTCTGCCGGCCCCGGGAGGAGCGTGAGCGCCATCCGCGCTCCTATGCCCCAGCATGTGCCTCTGCCGTCACCGCAGGCGTTCTTTGCTGTTGCACTCTTCTGTTTGGGCTTGCGGTGCTCTTCGTCGTCGCCCTCTGCGGTCCCTTAACTGATATGGATCACATGGACAAGACGGACAGCTGCCCAGGTTTGGAGAAGTGGATCAATTCCACCCACATGGATCACCACCACCATTGGCACCCCAAGCGGATGAGCCACAATCACATGGACCATCACCACCATTGGCACCCCCACTGGCTGCGGGGATCCTTCCACAACGAGTCCCCGCCGTCGACGGTGTCCTCTCCGGTGTTCTTTGACAAGGCCGTCGAGGAGGAAACGCTAGGCCGGCCGATTCCCATGGGCCAGCACAGCATTGAGGAGGCTTCCAGCATGGTGGCCGCAGGCGCCGCCCCTCAAAGCGATCGCGAAGAGGCCTCGACGGCGGTATCTTCGCCCGCTGTGGCCCCAGTGGCCACCGCCGCCGCGGCGCCTGCGATGCCCGCGATGTGGTTCTGAGCCTGCTGAGGGCGACGAGCAGCACAACGGTGAGGGAACTGCTTAGGTAGGAAGTGGTGATCCACTCAAGGCTTTTTTCAGGAATGAGCCGGATGCAGCTCTGGCCGCTGAGCTTTTAAACGCAGCCCTAGGCTTTCCAGAAAGTCTAGCATAATTCTAGCTGCTGAGGCTTTTTCATGTGCAGAGCCTGCATTCGGCAAGCGTGGAGTTGCCTTCGGCTGCCTCGGATCTTGAGCATCTCCTACTCTCTCGAGTCGAAAGCCTAAACCAGAAAGCCAGAAAGTCAGAAATTGTCCTTCAGCCCTAAACCGAGGAAGTCCCAGCACTCCACCGTAGATTGGGCCTCTTGTGTGCTGGACGCGAAGGGTCTGCGATGAGCAGAGCGAGATTTGAGATGTTCTGGGGTATGATTCTGGGTGCTCTGCAACTCCCGTTGATGGACTCATGAAGCCAGATCTTGTGCTCTCGCTCTGCCCATGCTGTACAGAGGCTGCGCCGCAACAAGAGATTACACGCTCAATCCTTCTGTAGATCTTGTGTGGGGTAGGCTGTGGCCCGGTTGTTGTTCGGATTGATGTCGTCTCAAGTTACTGCTTCACCACACCATACTCTGGAAGCCCAGGACCCTACAGGCCCTAAACCCTGAAGCTGCAAAACAGACACCCGGTAGCCCTTAGAGCCGCTCGCCTACCCCGTCTATCGGACAAGGAGGCCGCCAGACCTTCGACATGGTGCCAGCAAGCTCTCTTTGAATTTAGGGTTTAGGGTTTAGAGCTCTCATGACCGATAAAGCCAAAGCCTATAAAACCCTAAACCCTAAACATAAGCCCTTTAAAAGGCACCCAGGTCTGGGCCTCGTCTTAGCCACGCCTTTCGACTTGACCTTTTTTCCGGGCGCCCTGCGCAGAGGCCGCGGCGGTGTCCCGGCAAGTTGCCTGGATGCTTTACAGAAAAAAAGAGCATGTGCAAGCTGCATGTGCTGAGAAGCCTCCTGGTTCTGCTTGCTGGCGGTTGTTTGGTAGTGTAGCTTGGGCCGGGTACGTTCTGCAGCAAAGCCGGGTCCACCGTGTAGACATTGACTGTAGTCGTCCTTCTCAGGAATCCCTTCTTCAGCGCTTTTACGGTAAGGGTCTTAGATGCTGGTTTTGGAGTGGGGTCTTCTCCTCTGGAATTCTCGTCTCTCGTTTCTCGCCGACCTCGCACCATGAACCTCGCCTGGCTAGTCCGAGTTGTGAGAGCATAAACCCTAAAACCCTAAACCCTGACCCCGTGCGAGTGTGAGTGTCGAAACCCTGAACCCCAAACAAGACAAGCCCAAACCCTAAACCCTAAAAGCCTAAACCCTAAGGCCCTAAACCCCAAACAAGAAAACCCTAAACCCTAAAACCCTTATAAACCCTAAACCCCAAACAAGAGAAGCCTAAACCCGAGGCTGACGCTGCTGAAGCGTTTCGAGCCGGGCCTTCTCAGCAAGGGCCTGGGCAAAGGAGATCGAAGCTTGGCTCTTCGAACATGCGTGTAGGTGTTAGGGCTTATAGGGATTAGGGTCTAGGGGGTGGGGTCTAAGGATGTCTAAGGGCTTATAGGGATTTAGGGTTAAGGGTCTAGGGTCTTAGGGCTTTTGGAGTTTAGGGTTTAGGGGGTGGGGTCTGAGGGCTTTTGGAGTTTAGGGGGTGGGGTCTTAGGGTTTTTGGAGTTTAGGGGCTTTAGTGGTTTATTCGGGGGGGGAGAGGGAGGGGGGTTAGAGTAGTTTAGTTCGGGGTAATTCATTAATGGGGTAAAACGCTTTGGGCCTTGGGTGTTGTGGTTTGGGGTGTTATTTCTTAGCATTGCCATGAGCCTCCAACGCAGATGCCGTACCGCGGGACAAGGGCTGGAAGACCTTGCTGTGTTTTTTCGGTCTCGGGTTTGGGCCTGGATTACAGGAATCCCAGCAGACCCACAACAAGCAGCACTGAAGCCCCCAAACAGTCTTACCATGTCTTACCTGATCAAGCAGAGCTCTGTTTGCTGGAACCTCCCAGATAATCAGGTACAGATAGGTACTCTGTATATGTCAGTGTTGTGTGTGTTTGCTTGCTTGCTTGTTTGTGTTTGAGGTGTGGGTGGCGTCTTTAGTCAGTCCCTTAGCCATAAGCCTTAGCCCTTGACCTGGGTGTGAGGCGTGTATTGCAACGTCCAGCCTACCCTAAACCCTAAACCCCTAAACCCAGACATCATTGTAACTCTGGCCTACTTGTTTCGAAGCTTCGGGCTCGCCTCCCCTGCAAGGGTTACGTGGCCTCACACCGAAACTTGCAAACAAAAAGCCAAGGAAAAGGGGAGGACACCAGGAGGCTCGTATGACACAGCTTCAGCGTGCATGTATGTATGTATGTATGTATGTATGTATGTATTTATGTATGCACGTATGTATGCACGTCTGTCTGCATCTATCTGTCTGTCTGGATGGATGGATGGATGTAATGTAATGTAGATAATGTAGGTAATGTATGCATGTATGTTTATGTATGGATGGATGGATGAATGGATGGATGGATGTATGTATGTAATATCTTTCTGTCGGTCTTCTTTCGTTCTTTCATTCTTTCTTTTTCTGCTCAGTTATCAACCCCTATGGGCCCACACCTCCGAGCTAGGATAGTTGACCTGGCTTGATTGCGATACTCTGAGCCACCCGCTGTGTGTTTGTGGGGGTCTTGCGGGTGTCACGACGTCTTTACGCTCATGTTTGGCCGAATGTGCTGTCTCAGTGCTTGTGGAGTCAAGTTGGTGAAAGCCTTGGACCGTATGTTCGGTGTGCGAGCATGCTGTCACAGGCCACCATCCGCCGCGGAGGCTGCGGCGTTTGGACTGCCAGGTGCGACTTATATAAGGGGGGGTTGCTTGAAACGGTTTGGAGTTAAGGGTTTGGAGCCGCAGCACTGAGCAAAGTTCCAACTGTTTGTCCCCGACTGCGAACCAAGCGACCGCGTCTGGCTGCGTCCGAGTTGCGAGAGCCTAAATCCCCAAACCGCAAGGTTTAGGGTTTAGGGTGCCCGTTCTGCATGCATTTGTTTGTTCACGCGGTCACAGTAAAGTTCAGGGTTTTGAGTCTTGGGGTCTGTGCTAAGTGACAACGTCGGGTCTGTAGTGGGATCCTTGTTGGTGGCGCTTTGCATTTATGGAGGATCCTACCAGTTGGTTGTGTTTCAGGGTAAAGGGTTTAGGGATTGGGGTCCCTCATCTTCTAACACTCTTACTGTCTCAGGTTCGGGTGGGAGTTTGGGTGGGAGAGCCTCTTGTAGGCCAGCACTGGACCACTCGAAGCTGAACATGAATTTACTTTATTGTTCTTCGGAACACAAAGGTTTTATCAACTTCTTTCAGTATGGTTCTAAGGGTGCTTAGGGTAGGTGCAGCTTGATGTGCGGATGCGGGCCATCATGCAGGAATCAGATTGTCATGATCCTTCCTGGCCTCGCCATCTAGATTCTAGCTATGGGGATATGTGATTCATTTCAAACTTAAGAGTCTTAAGAGGTCCCAGCTTGAAGCTTTCAGAAATTACCAGGATCGTACGTTAAGGATCCCTAAATGCGGGAAATACTTTCATGTAGTTTATAGGGACTTCGGCAACGTCTTCAGGAGCCAAGCTTTGCTGGACCCTATGGCACCTCTTCCGCATGGCTCAAAAACGACCAAACACAAGGTTCAAGGTTTCGTTTCGGGTTGTTGAGTTCAGTGTGTTTTGCTTTGGGCTGAGAATTTGGCTCGAGCCCGTAAAGTAGGCAGAGAAACAAATGCCCTTGGACCGGAGCGCACGCTGCCGAAACCCCCGAAAAAAGGTAACTTTAGCTTGCCAGCATCCCGAAAACGCATGGAAGCACCGGCAGGTGCATCTGACAGAGGGCCGTTAGCATTCGGGAAGCCCCTCGTGAAGCTTTCGGAGGCGGGGTGGACATGGGCGGCATAGGGGGCATGGCCGCATGCTTGAGCCTTGGGGGTACTCGTTCTTGCAGTTCGGCGTCAGCTGCAACCTTGGTTCAAGCATGAAAGTATAGGCTTCTTTCAAAGGAGGATCTGATCTGTTTCCTCCCCTAAGAATCTCCGAGCGAGGTCCCTGGCCCTCCATAGATGCTGCGCCATGGCCTTTTCCAGACATCACCGGGTCCCTTCCAGATGCAGGCAGGGCCGCCGCACCTCCCAGGCTTTCCAATTTAACATGGATATGATAAATTGGCAACGATATCATGTATATGACTGCTGAAATTTGTGAATACACTTCATCGTGGCATTTCAACATCGCGGGAGCCTACAAATACCACGGCTGCTTGAACTGCTTGATCAGCCAGGAGCTTGCTTTTGCTCTTGCGTCGTTGCGTGAAGATGTCTTAGGACAGGTAGTGGACACTAAACCCTAAACCCTGAATCCTAAACCTTAGAACCGTTGCAGTGGGCTCTGTTTTTTTCGAAAGCAGAGCTAAAGCCAATCAGGCGATGTCGTCCGCGGTTTCATCAATCTGTTCGTGAGCTTTGGACTTTCGAGCTACACATCTGAGGGGTGACCTCTTCAGGCATTTCAGTCTTCTGGGGTTAAAGTGCCTATAGACTCTATAGACTCAAGACTCCCTCCGAACGCCATGGCGCCAAGCAAGAAGAGGCCAGCTGCGCAGTCAAGTGGCCTCCGCAAGAAGCCTGCAGCAAGGCATGTGGACACGGAAGAGGAGGAGGATGAAGAGGAGGAGCTAGGAGACGAAGGGGAGGAAGAAGAGGAAGAAGAAGAAGAAGCGGACGACGAGGAAGCAGAGGAGGAGGACGACGAAGAGGACGTCACCGTGCGCAAAAAGCCAGCTTCCAAGGATGAGACGCCGAAGAGCCGGTCCATGAAGGTGGGGTTTGGGGTTTATAGGCCTTAATAAACGCCCCAAAGCCCCACAGCCCCTACGCGAGACGATGCTGAAGGGGCTTACTTCGAGAGTGGAGGGTTCGGCTGGAGGCTTTTCAGCAGAATCAGGAGGCAAAAGCCACAGTGCGGAGGATGCAGTGGGTGGACTCCCACCCAGAGAACCCAATACCCCTGAATTAAGAAAATATGCGTTAAGTTATAGGGGGTATTGGGTTTTCTGGGCAGATCCCTATAGCTTCCGAACGTTTCGGGGGTACCCTACACTCCCCTGAAGGCTCCCCCAAGCAAAAGGGAGGCCAAGGCAGCCCTCCGAGAGGCCGTCAAGAAGAAGAAGACCGTGGATCGATTGAAGAAGCTGCGCTGTAGAGGAAGTAGCCTTTATTATCAGTATGATTATGATTATGATGATTATTATTATTAGGGCCTTTGAGGCTTTGGTTTTTTTTATGAGTATAACAGTATAACCTTTAAGGTCTTCAGCGGATGCAATAGTCTGGGAGTGCTGCTTCCCAGCTGATTGGCAGAGTCTGGGTTCAAAAGAAAGGCCTTTGGCGGCTGGAGGGTTCTCATGGGTTTTGGGGTGGTAGAGCACATCACCAAGTAAGGAAGGAGATCAAGCCCCTGGCACAGAAGCTCAAGGAGAAGCGGGAGGAGCTACGACTTGCAGATCAGGAGTTGGAGAAGCTGAATGCAGCCGCTAACAAGCTGGGAAGAGCCATAGAGAAAGAAACCAAAGCAAAGGAGCTCAGACGGAAGAAGCGTGCCCGGGTCATCAAGAAGAATGCCGGCGAGCGGGTGCGGAGCTTGCGGGAGAAGCTAAATGAAGCCAAGGCAGACATAGCAAAGTTTAAACTTGCAGAGGCTCAGGCGAAGAAGAAGCTCTCTACAGCTCAGAAGGAGTACCTGCGGCTGCAGTTACCTTCTGATTTAGGAGTTGTGCTACATAGGTAATGGGTCAGACCTGCTTTTTCTGTAGGATCCGGGACCACAGGTACAAGCAGCTCCAATCCAAAGGAGATCAGTACAGCCACCATGGCTTCAGTACCTAGCCAGGCCACCGGGATGTTTTCTATCTTTCTTTGTTGGGTTTACGAGGATCTTCTACACACCAAGATCTGAACCTTAAAACCCTAATTCCTACTGTAGACCCTTTAGGAAAACCCTAGATTCTGAACCGGAGTCTTTCAGAGGTTTTACGGCCCACGCCTAGGTGCCAAGCGTGCCGTAGAGGCTGCCAAGGGAGACTTCGAGAAGGCCAAGCTCGGCTTGGCGCACTCCTCGGACGCCCGAGGTCGTAACAGCATCGATGTTTTAATGCAGGGGCCTCAATAATTACCTATACTATTTTGGGGGTTCCTTTCTTATGATTATAGTATAATGGGCCCCAAAGCCCTATTCTAATTATTAAGGCCCCTACGTTAGATTTTGGGAGTGTTCAGCCGCGCGAGCTGAAGCTTCCAGGTGATTCAACAGAAGGGCTCAGGGTGCAAGATTCAGGGTTTCGAGTTCAGTGTTTAGTGTCTGTTTTGAATATGTTAACTCTCATTACTCCCTTTTGTTATATGTCAATGTTATTGTTGTCAGTATATTTCAGATTGTCGCAGTGAGCACTGCTAAACCTACGAATGTTTAGCGTAATTGAAGTTAGGTTAATCGCAGTACCACTGCTTACCAGAATGTGTCATTGTCCGTCTTCTTCGATACTGAACATGCGGAAGAAGACGAAGACTGCAGAATTATGTCTTCGAAAGCGTCCGCCCCCCCTCCCCCCCCCCGACTTAGGAGAGCTTCGAGAAGTGCCAGGAGCAGCTGAAGACTGCGCAAGAGAAGATCTCGCTGATCAAGGCTCCTTCATACTTGGGGGGGTTTGGAAATCGCATCGCATCTAAGATGGAAAGAGTCATCATCCAGGGCTTTCTATCCTTCGATAGCAGCAACTGACTTTGAGCCCAGGAGAAGTCGCAGAAGCCCAGTGCCAGTGGTTCCACCAGCGCTGGTGGGAAGGTGATGAAGCGTCCAGCGGGGCGAACAGGATAGCAAACATCCTACATAAGAAGTTTCTGCCCTTGCAAACTGCTGTGCTGAGGGGTCTCAGCTCGTCTCACAGCTGTGCAAGAGCGCAGGTTTATGGCGTGTTCGTTTGTACAGTGTGCAGTGCCAGCACTGCCATCAGACGGGGCTGCGCAGTCGACCGAGACAGTCGCCTTGCTGCAGCGTGGGGGAATAGCACTCCTAATGGCGGTGATTTGGAAAGCGGGGATGACATTTTCGCAGGAGCAAAGGTACCTCTCAGTGCACCAGAGGCGGCTTGCTTTGCACACATGTTCTGGGGCTTGCTTTTTGATTGCAGATGCAAGTAAACGATGACCATGGAGAGCTGATGCTTGCACTCCTGATGCTGGCAATTTGTTTGCAAGAGCCCCCCCTTTTTTCCAATTCGCGAATAGTCCTGCATTGAAAGGTATAGAACAGTAATGATATATTCCTTTTAGGAGTTCGAGTACTCAGCAATCTATACTCTACCCTGCGAGTCACTGCAAGTCCTCATATGATCATACTGCGGCATGCTCGTATACAGTAAACCCTATTCTAGCTAAGCCCCCTATACCAAACCCACCCCAAAGAAAGGCTACACAACCCTAAACCCTCAACCCTACTCTAAACATTACGGCCGTTTGTCATTGGGCTCTTTGTGTCTCCAGGTGCCGCGCTTGAGACGGTGATTGACCAGCTGAGCATCCATCAAAGTTCTAAATTTAGGATCCAGGACTCCTGGCAGAAGGTCTTCCAAAGTGATGCCTGGCCGCGGCAGAAAGAAGAAGACTGCTGAGCCGGATAGCCCTGTGTTTGCAACGAGTCTTCTGCGCTCAGAACCTACATCTTAAGGGGAAGACCTGAGTAGTGTAGCAAGTACACTTTTGTTGTTGAGGTTTGGGCTGGTCTCAGATCACATCCCTGAACGGAGTTGTTTGTGTCACGTCTGCAGCTTCGCAGACAGAGTGTCTAGCAAACTTTTCGGTACGTAAATAATCCATACATGTACATACATATACACGTATATAGATTTGCTTCTGTACATATGGACACATATGTGCATGTGTGCCTATGAATATACCTATATATATATATAAACACATACATACCTACTTATATATACACATATATATATATATGTACACATACACACACATACATATGTGCGTTGGCAGGCCCAGCTGCCTGTGTCCAGAGCGGGAAAGCCACGGGAGGTGGTTGCAGAGGCCGATGCGTGGGGGTTCAACATGGGACTTTCCGAAAATTGGGCCCCCTTATTTTGGGGTCCTTATAATAATCCTACTATTCAGGGTAGTATATTAGGGAAGGGGTTTGTATGAATGGTGGTTGCAAAGGGATCTACATGGGTTTCATAAGGATTGTGGGTTGAGTGTAGAAGGCTGGCCATAGGGCCATAATCTTCCCTACTCTAAGTATGGCCGAATATCCCCAAAACCCGATTCTAAAATTAAGGCTTAATAGACGTGTCTGAATGATTAGAATAGGGTTTCGGGGATATCCGACCATGCTTATTTAAGCTTCTATGGGGTTTCAGCTTCAGGGTTTAGAGCTGGCTGGTTTGGGGTTCTAGACCAGGCAGCCAAACAAAATCGGGTCGAGGACTCGGAGGGCTTAGCTGGTTTTATAGGTACTTTCCCTTCGATCCGTTGACGGTGTCCGAATTCGTGTCGTAGGTTTGAGTGCTGAACTAGGGTTTGGGGTTGAGGACTGGGGCTTCAGGTCCTAGGATTGTTGATTCAGCTCAGGTGGAAGGGCCTTTTTTAAGCTTCTTGTGATGAGGTATGACTGCAGATTGAGTTAGAAGGTCATAAACTTGGGGCCATTCCGTTTGTTGCCAATCAGTACATTTGTCTTGTTACCTTTAGCGGCAAATGCCTCTGAAGCCCTTCACCACAGAACCCGAAGCTGCACTATTTAAACCTTTCGCAAAATCCGAGTAGCTCATGTCCAACATGGACCCCGGAGTAACGAGGAGTTCTTGTCAGGCGGATAGATCGACAGTATGAACGTAGAGTAGTAGTCATACTGACAATAGCAACAGAAGGGACGACATACAGCAAGCCGAATGACGAACACGTCAGAAACAGTAATGCGGGGGCATGGTTGAACAATAAGGTACCATCCCTCACGGCATTCGGGGCTCTTCACATTTCACATATATCATTTCCAACACGGCTCTAGCGATTACGGTCGCTATACGGTTTGTACACAAGAATTAGACCCCAAACTCCGCAAACCCCAAATCCTATCTTAGATGTAGTGAGTCAACATCCCGAGAGACCTCGTCTGGCGGAGTCCGAGTTGCGGATCCCTCAGTCCTAATGCGGTCAATTGGGCGGCTGGGAGAAGAAAGCGGTTACCTTCATGGCTGGAGTCGCGAACATTGCCTGGCACGGTGCATAGCACTTGAGTCGCCGCGAACTCTGTGATTATGGGTCTATTGCGGAGAAGCCCGAGGTGGCTTGCTTCCGAAACTAGGACGAATATAGGGACGAAAAATGGTTACAGTATATTACAGTAGAATAGGACCTGGGGTTATATTGTGCTTCTACATTTACATTACGGAACCCACTCTAATTATTCAGGCTCCTACATTAGCTGCAGATTTCCGTGAGTTGTGGATGGAACCAAACTCCCTGCGGAACTCTGCATACTGTTGTTTCATGTCGTTCTTCTCATTCCTACAGCGCCCTTCGCTTTAGGGCTGAAGTTTAGAACAAAGGTAGCCAAGTCGAGGGAACTCCAAACCCCAAACCCTCCCTCTACTCTACCCTCAACCCTAATCCCCATGGATCCTCGCCTGGCATGTCCGAGTTGTGAGAGCATAAACCCTAACTTAATTGAATGGTTCCTGCCCTAAACCCTAAACCCTAATTGGCCCTAACTCAATTGAACGGTTCCTGCCCTAAACCCTAAACACGCCATGCCTGCTTTGCGAGTGCGTGAGTCGAAACCCTAATTGGCCCTAAGTCAATTGAATGGTTCCTGCCTTGACCCAGAGAACCCAATACCCCTCAATTAAGGAATATACCTTAGATCATAACATTAAGGCCCCTATAACTTATGCTACACTCCTCAATTAAGGGGTATTGGGTTCCCTGGGAGAGTCAGCTCGGAAGGTGCTGCCCCAGTCCTGGACGGAGGGCCGACAGCCCTTGCTTCGGGAGGCCGGTTCATCCGTGGTGAAACCGCACCCTAAACCCCGAAAGCTTTGAGTTTCAATGGCTTCAAACCCGACTTTTTGTCAATCTCAATGGATTCAACCCAGAAAGTTTTGATTTTCAACGGTTTCGGTGTTCAGGGTTCTAGCAGTCGGCCTAGGGGCACATTCCAGTCAGCAGAAGCTTGGTGTGTGGACCTGTTTTCCTACCGTTGGCAAACGGCCACTCAACATGCTGTGGCTTGGAAGTGACTGAACGAGAAAGTCTGAGCAATGCAGTCCGGATGACTGTGATAGTGCAGTTGATTCGCACCCTAGTGGCCAGCATGCATTTGCCAGAAGTAGTCTTCACAGACTCCCACTGCCGAACAGCGTCAGAGACGGCAAGGGCATGCCTCGTGTGTCTTTTAGCCGAATTTAGCCAAGTGCGCAACCGGGTGCAGCACAACTTCTTTGTTCAGAAAGGCTAAAAGAGATCTTTAAGATGGCCTCCCTCGCTGCGCTAGTCTAGTTTTGACAAGGCCTTGTTGTTGTGAGCCTTGACTGCTTCGTGCAAGTGCGAACCCCAAAAGGAAGCCTTGCCTGCCTTGTGCGAGTGTGAGTTTCAAGAAGGCCTAAATCCCAAAGCCTTGCAATCATTACGCTATATATAGATTTAAATTGAAACCCTCCGGAAAACGACAAGCGTGCCTCTGACACACACACACACAAACACACACAGAGAGACCAACCAGGAATCCGAAGCCCTGACTTGCCGGAGGTCTCCCATGCACTTTCTGCGGACATCATCAAATCTCCCTTCACTGGGGAAGCCTTAGATCTGCAGGCCGCCCCAAGCTGCAGTGCTAAGTCGGAGCGGCATCTCTCCTCAATATATATCTAGGTGTATACACGTGTGTATATATATATATATGTATGTGTGTGTGTGTCTGTCTGTCTGTCTGTCTGTCTGTCTGCCTGTCTGCCTGTCTGCCTGTCTGCCTGTCTGCCTGTCTGCCTGTCTGCCTGTCTGCCTGTCTGCCTGTATG